TTGTAACCGTATTTAGCGGACCCAAAAACACCATTGCATAACAAGTTTTAAGTGAATCTAGAATAATTTTTAAATAATTTAGAAGATATTTGTTTTTGTAAAATATATCCCCCCAAAAAATGAGTTTTAAGTGAATCCTATAAATTTTAAAAATATTTTCAGTCATATTGGATCCGCCATTTTGTTTTTTTATATAAAGTGACTGTAAATTTTCCTAATTGTATTTAGCGGACGCAAAAATATCATTCGTAACTAATTATAAGTAAATTTAATATATATTTTAAAAATATTCTGACATATTGAATCGGCCATTTTGATTTTCGTAAGAAATAACTTGAAAATCGTATTCAGAAAACTTAAAAATCTCGAAGTAATGAGTTTTAAATGAATCCAGTTAATTTTAAAAATATTTTTAAACATACTTCATACGACATTTTGTTTTTCGTTGAAAATGAATTCAAATTTTTTGAATCGTATTTAGCGTATCCAAAAATCGTTTATAACAAGTTTTGAATGAATCTAACAAATTTTTGAAAATATTTTCTGAAATATTGAATTTACTATTTTGATTTTTTTTAAACTATCTTCAAAATTGTATCCTTAGAATTTGTTTTCTCTCGACTTTTTTTTTTATTACTTTCTCAAGGTAAAAAAATTATTTTCCAAAAGGTTTCATCGGGTTCTCCCGTCTTGATGGCAAAGAATAAAAAACTTATTTATTTTCAAAATAGAGAAAATTCAAAGTTTCTTCAAATCGTATAAAAGAAACTACAAAAAAAATTTGAAAAGAAAAAAATTTCATGTGAATATTTTACTTAACCCTTTCGTGCCCCCGGGCAACCTAGCTTATAGATTTTGTTGAAACTCGTCACTCGGGGGTTTTTGGGGTCGCTGATTTCGAATTTGAAGTCAGATTTTGAAAATTCAAAATGGCGGATCCAATATGGCGGACAAATTTTCAAAATTTTATCTGTTCCCCTTAAAACTCATCACTCGGGGGTTTTTGGGGTCGCTGATTACGAATCTGAAGTCAGATTTTCAAAATTCAAAATGGCGGATCCAATATGGCGGACAAATTTTCAAAATTTTATCTGTTCCCCTTAAAACTCATCACTCGGGGGTTTTTGGGGTCGCTGATTTCGAATTTGAAGTCAGATTTCGAAAATTCAAAATGGCGGATCCAATATGGCGGACAAATTTTCAAAATTTTATCTGTTCCCCTTAAAACTCATCACTTGGGGGTTTTTGGGGTCGCTGATTACGAATCTGAAGTCAGATTTTCAAAAATCAAAATGGCGGATCCAATATGGCGGACTAATTTTCAAAATTTCACCGGTTTCCATTCAAACTTATCACTCGGGGGTTTTTGGGGTCGCTGATTACGAATCTGAAGTCAGATTTTCAAAATTCAAAATGGCCGATCTAATATGGCGGACTAATTTTCAAAATTTCACCGGTTTCACTTAAAACTTATCACTCGGGGGTTTTTGGGGTCGCTGATTACGAATCTGCAGTCAGATTTTCAAAATTCTAAATGACGGATCGAGTTTGTTCAAAAAATTTTTAGAAATTTTTAAATTTTTCTCACTTTCAAATCAATTGTTTGCAGCGGTGACGGTCTTCCACACCACCTAAGAGGTTCCGAATAAGGCGCGTTAGGTTTTTTTTTTTACAGTAAACCTTCGCCAAGAACCCTATTTTAACAAGGTGGATGAATTTCATTATCATGTGAGTCTCGCGAATTTTCAAATTCGATGTAAGCTTTACATATAACAAAATACAAAAAATTGTTCAATTAATATAAAAGAAATTAATTAAATATAATTTTCAGATGGTGATTAAAATAAAATTATTAATTTCAATATAATTAGTTTAATAAAATAATAATTTTAATAACCCCCGAGTGATGAGTTTTAAGGGAAATCGGTGAAATTTTGAAATTTATTCCTCCATATTGGATCCGCCATTTTGAATTTTGAAAATCTGACTTCAGATTCGTAATCAGCGACCCCAAAAACCCCCGAGTGACGAATTTGAAGAGAACAGATAAAATTTTGGATATTCGACCGCCATATTGGATCCGCCATTTTGCATTTTGAAAATCTGACTCCAGTTTCGTAATCAGCGACCTCGAAAATATTAAGAGTCAATGTGTTGTTAAAAACGGATGAAGCCTAAATGAATGACTTAACATTATTGATATATAACTTTTGTTAATTTTTTATCAATGTTGTACCTATTGTTTAAAATAATTATAACTGTATTATACTGTTTTCTATTTTTTAACATATAGTAATAACGATTGTCAATAAAACTATCCATTGGATTTACTGATTGGGTTAAATTTGTAAGAGTTATATCAAATTTTGTAAGTGGTACATATATGTACCGGAGGCACGAAAGGGTTAACTTTTCAAGAGGAAAATTTTTTCTTTTCAGATTTATTTTTTGTAGTTTCTTGTATACGATTTGAAGAAAATTTGAATTTTCCTATTTTGAAAATAAATAAATTTTTTATTCTTTCCCAAGACGCGAGATCTCGATAAAACCTTTTGGAAAATAATTTTTTTACCTTGAGAAAGTAATAAAAAAAAAAGTCGAGTGAAAAAAAAAATGCTGAGGTTTTTGAGAAAATTTTGATTTTTACCAGGTAGAAAAATTAACATTACTAACGTTACTAACATTACTAATATTACTAACGTTACTAACGTTAGTACCTATAAAAAAATTAAGAAAATGTTTCTAAATTGTATTTTTGCAGAAACTTGTCGAAAATCGACCACCAGGAAGTATTTAATGTTCTTTCCCGCACTTTTTATAATTTTCATTTCTATTATCACTTCCACTTCTTTATTTTCATTACCGTTTCTCATTCGCACTTCCATTCCCACTTCCACTCTTTCTAATTCTCATTTCCACTTTCACTTTTTTATTTTCATTACCACTTCCACTTTTTTTAATTTTTATTCCCACTTTCCTTTTTCTAATTTTCATTCCCACTTCTACTCCCATTTTTTCCACTTCTAATTTTCATTATAGCTGTTGCCATTTTGACTAAAACTATTTCTAATTACCATTTACGCAACCATTTCCACTTTTTTTAATTACCTTGGATGGAAATTAGAAAAAGTGAAAGTGATAATGAAAATTTAAAAAATTAGGAATGGAAGTAGGAGTGAAAATATAAAAAAGTTGTAATGAAAATAAAAAATTGGAAGATGAAATGGGAATGAAAATCGGAACAAGTGAAAGTGAAAGTGTGAATGAGAATTAGAAAAAGTGGTAGTGGCAATGAATATAAAAAACTGGAAGTGGAAATAGGAATGGGAATGAAAATTAGAAAAAGTGGAAGTGGCAATGAATATAAAAAAGTGGAAGTGGAAATGGGAATGAAAATTAGAAAAAGTGGAAGTGAAGTGGGAATGAGAATTAGAAAGAGTAGAAGTGAGAATGGACGTGCGAATGAGAATTAGAAAAAGTAGAAGTGGAAATGGGAATGAAAATTATAAAAAGTTTAAGTGGAAGTGTAAGTGAAAGTGAAAGTGGTAATGGGAAAGTAGTGGCAAAGTTTCTGTGAAAATATATTTTAGAAACTCTTAGAAGTACAAGTGGGAATGAAAATTAGAAAAAGGGAAGTGGGAATAAAAATTAGAAAAAGTGGAAGTGGTAATGAAAATAAAAAAGTGGAAGTGAAAGTGGAAATGAGAATTAGAAAGAGTGGAAGTGGGAATGGAAGTGCGAATGAGAATTAGAAAAAGTAGAAGTGGAAATGGGAATGAAAATTATAAAAAGTTTAAGTGGAAGTGAAAGTGGTAATGGGAAAGTAGTGCAAAGTTTCTGTGAAAATATATTTTAAAAACTCTTAATTTTTTTATAGGTACTAACGTTAGTAACATTAGTAATGTTAGTAACATAAGTAACGTTAGTAACGTTAATTTTTTCACCTTGTTAAAGAACGTTTAAGCCAAAATGAGGGACACAACAGCAGGACTTGTAAAAAAAGGTATTTATTTTGCAGAATAAAATGTAATTTTTTAGGTTAATATTAAAAATTTATAATTATTAATGTTTGAAGCTAATTTATTATTCTTTTGTATCGAATTAGATGTATCAAAAAACTTAGAAAATTACTAAGAATATGTCAAACTAATATATTAAAATATAAAGAATATTCAAAAGCTACATATATTCAATTAATTTGAGCTCGAAAAAATGCTCAGGTTTACTGGACCCATGGTGCCAATTAAGGCTTGAGGGGTTACATGGGTCAAAACTGTTAGAAAAAGTATGTTTTAAAAAAAATGATTTTCTTCATATAGTAAATCATTTTTTTCTTTTAACATTTTGGTTTCTTAAAGTACACTATAATATAAATAATTCATAAAATTTTTAAAAAAAAAATATTCAAAAACAGGGCCGTTGCAACAGTTCCTTTGAGGCCCCTTCCGAAAAAATTGATTTTGCGGTGGTCACGATATTTTTGGACTGCTTCATTCAAAATCAAAAATCAAAATATTTTCTGTTAGTGGGTGAGTATGGCTCGTGATTAAACGAAGGGTTTTGTTTTCTGTTGATTGGAATAGATTTTTCACGGTCTAAATGGTCCTAAAAGTTGTACATTTTGATATAAAATGCTGTCAAAAATTCAAATTTAATTCTTTTCAAAAACCCTTCGTTCAATCACGAGCCATACTCACCCACTAACAGAAAATATTTTGGTTTTTGATTTTGAATGAAGCAGTCCAAAAATATCGTCACCACCGCAAAATCAATTTTTTCAGAAGGGGCCTCAAAGAAACTATTGCTACGGCCCTGTTTTTGGAATATTTTTTTTCAAAAATTTTATGAATTATATTATAGTGTATTTTAAGAAACCAAAATGTGAAATGTTAAAATTTTGACCGGCATTGATAGCTGAGGGAAAAAAAACATCTTTTCATATATATAAGTTGGTATAGTGAAAGTAAAAAATGAAAAAAATTTTGATAAAATTATCTCACCAAGAATCACTCCAAGGAGGACTCCTGACAAGGTAACCAATAACAATAGGTTTTCCCGTATCCATTGGGTGGTATCTGCCGTCACCTTTCGGGGACCCTGCGAGGCGGAGACATCCTGACCACCCATCTTGGCGAAAAGGTACTCAGAGAACCTGGAGGACGACTTGTCCTCCATCTCTTCACCAGACGCCCTGGCGGAAGTCGAGGATCCCACGGATCCTGGCTCCCCTTCTCCCGTTTTTTTCCGGCGTACTGCTGGGCCCCGGCAGAACCACGATGACGAGAGGTTGCCGTTTTGGGGATCTTGTTGTAAATCCGCACGAAATGACCAATCACGACCACCCACCAGGCGTCGGAGAAGCCTCACGGCCTTCCACGATCCTATTGACTCGATCGTCGTACCGGTTTATCGATCTCCTTACTGAATTCAACACAAGGGACTTTATAGTCCCAAATAAATTTTAAAATTTCTTTGTTTAGAGATAAGAAAAAAAAAATTTTTTTCTCCTAAAACCACTCCCTTGGGAAAAAATTTATCTCAACAACTTTTTAATCCCCCTTTTTTTTTTTTGTCACCAAGCTAGAAAAAAATATATATATGTTTTTCAAAATCTCTTTTTCACTTTTCAATGGTTTTCTTTTCTCATTTATGAGATGATGCAAATTCTGCCCAGGTAATACAATTCACCAACCGGTCGAAGCACTTCACACCGGTGAGAGTTTCGTTGCGCAGGGTCAGTTACCCCTGTGGAATCTTGTAACAAGTTGTGTTTTTCTTGTTTGTGCAAATATATTCTGATGCACACAATACTTTTTATTAAATGCTATTTATTTTTGTCAAAAAGTGCTTCTTTTTGTTGTTTTTTTTTTTTAATGAAAAGATGAGTCAAATTTTTTGTTTGCAAAAAAAAAAATTTATGATGATGTGTGTATGAAGGGTTGCGCGCGACGTGAACCTCGCAAAGGATGAGCCCTGACTGGCCATCAAGTGTCGGCCATTGCCGTATTGATTGGCAAAAGCTGGCTCTGGCTCACTCTCAGATTTCAAGAAAGTTCTCTCGCATGCGCCAACCCTAACTAACTCGGTCGCTATCGCAGGAGAAAGAGGATTCCCAAGGTGTATATATATGTGTATATATAGTGTACCACGCATAGCATTCAAACGGGAGTCGCTCGATATCACTGATATCACAAGGACGAATCGACGATTCGTATATATATATATATAGCGAAACAGGAAATGGCAACCTGCTTTTAGAGAGATAGGACAAGTACATCAAGGGTAGAATAATATTATTCCTAAAAGTTTGCAAAAGATATACAATCGTTTTTAGATAAACAAGACAAATTTTCTTTATTCAGAACAAAATTACCCATTGTTGGTACTGATGATATTTTTTTTCTTCCACTTTTAAAATTTTCAAAAATTTTATCTTCTTCGTTACTGATCTTTTGTTCCTAAATCGAAAGTTAAAATAATTGTTGATTTTTTATGACACTTGGTTATTATTGGATTTACAATTTCGAATTTTGAAAATCTGGCATCAGATTTCTAATCAGCGACCCCAGATGCCAAGTGTAATAAAAAAAAAAGAAAAAATTTTACAGGCACACAAAAAAAATTTAAGTTCTAAACTCGAGGCCAAACCAAGACAACTTTTTTTTTTTTTTTTTGGGTCGCTGAAACCGAATTTTAAGCCTGTTTAATACCATCACGTCAGGTATTTGACATAACCTCAAAAAACCTCAAAATTTTGATATCAAGAAAAATTCTCAGTTACAAATCTCATCATATCTATTTTATCATTTTGGGGTCCCTGAAGCCGAATCTGAAGTCTACTTAACCCAACCACGTTAGGTTTTTGACATAACCTTAAAAAAATTCCAAAACCCACATAGCACGGCTTCTTACTGTGACGTTACTGTCAGGATATCTGTAGGGTTTGTAAGGTTACCGTGTAAGCCTACAGCAAACTTGAGGTTAACTTAAAACTTCCGCCTTACAGTAAGCTTACACAGTAAAGCTAAGGTAAGCTCACACAGTAAAGTCGTGGTAAGTTTACGTGGTAAGGTTGTTGTAAGCTTACACGATAAGGTTGCTGTCAGCTTCTTTTAACATTACTGTAAGGTTGATGTAAGGTTACCGTAAGGTTACTGTAAACATAGAATGTTGTTAATAAATAAATTTTATTAATATTTAAGCGCAGTAGTTTTCTATGGAACATATGACTGCGCAGTAAATTTTATTTTTATTATAATGTAATTATTTTTAATATATTTTCATATTACTTTATGTTCACAGTAACATTACAGCAACCTTACAGTAACCTTACGGGAAGCTTACAACAACCTTACCGTGTAAGCTTACCACAACCTTGCCATGTAAACTTACCACGACCTTCCTGTGTAAGCTTACCTTAGCTTTACTGTGTAAGCATGCTGTAAGGCGAAAGTTTTATGATTACCTCAAGTTTACTGCAGGCTTACACACGGTAACCTTACAAACCCTACAGATATCCTTATCGTAACTTTACAGCAAGAAATTGTGCTATGTGGGAAATTTGAACCCAAAATTTTGAAACCAAGAAAAATTCTAATTTTATAATTCTTTTCATGACTACGTTATGTTTTTGGAGTAGCTAAAGCTGAATCTGATGTCTACTTAACCTTATCACGTCAGGATTTTAAAATAACCTCTAATAAACCCAAAAAATTTGAAATCAAGGAAAATTCTTAATTATAAGCCTTACTATTACTACTTTGTGTTTTTGGGGTCGCTAAAGCTGAATCTGAAGTTTATTTAACTACATCACATCAGACTTTTGAAATAACCTCAAAAGAAACCCAAAATTTGAAAAAGCCTGTTCTTTTTTCCTAAAATCCATTACATTGAATTGTTAAAGCATCAGCTACCCCAAAAACTTAAAATAGTCATGGAATGCCTTATCTTTACATCAAAATTTTTCTTGATTTCAAAATTTTGGGGTTAAATGTTTGGAATTTTTTCGAGGTTATGTCAAAAGCCTGACGTGATGGGGTTAAATAGACTTCAGATTCGACTTTAGCGGCCCCAAAAACATAAAGTAGAAAATATAAACATAAAATATGAGGCGCATGGCGCCTCCATCGCAGGGTTTCGTGGCCAATATTAATATTACCATCGCTAAGCAAAAAAATCCTTAGCAACGGTTGTCATGGAAACGGTTGCTATGGAAATGGTTGCTATGTAAACGGTTGTCATGGAAATAGTTGCTATGGCAACAGTACGAATGTACTACGGACGGACGCTTTCGGACCTGGGCCACGAAATCAAATTACCAATCTCACACATTAAATTTGTGATCAGCGACCTCGAAAACCCTTTAAAAGTTATTGCATTAGTTCATACCTATTCCCACCCCCACAGCATTGAAACTTTCCTAAAGATTTATTTGAAATGTTCGGAACATTTAATTGCAATGTTTAGTGAAAATTGTGTAAAGATTTAAATGTCCCGATTAAATAAATGCGTTTAGTGTAAAACTTTCCTGAACATTTAAATGAAATAATTATAATTATAATTAGGCGAAAATTTCATTTAAATGTACAGTAAAGTTTCGCGCTAAACATTTATTCAAGTGGTACATTTAAATCTTTACACAATTTTCACTAAACATTGCAATTAAATATTCCGAACATTTCAAATAAATCTTTAGGAAAGTTTCGGTGCTGTGGGGGCAATTTTGCTCTAAATGACACAGTTTAAATTTTTTTTTTATTTCTAACTTATATTCTATTTAAGAAAATTAAATATTCAGTATGTTAAGAATAATTTTGAAAAATATCGCACACAGGGGGATTGAATCTAGGACCCTTGGAACACGAGCCGTGTTCTCTAACCACACAGCGGCATTGACTTAGAGATTTTTTTATATCTGTAACACTTCTTATTTATAATATTAACTACATATCTTCTATTAGTGATAACAAAATAACTACATTATCTTTAAATAATTACATCTAATAATAATTTACAATTTCTTTATATAATTTTTTTTTATTTAAATCATAAAATAAATTTTTTCAAATTGTGAATTAATTAATAAAATAATTACAAATGAGTAGGTAATTACATATAGTTACATCTTTGAAGTTCGGAATTTTATTTCAAATAGCGTGATATTTTATAGAAAGTTTGCAGTAACTTTGTTAAACGTTAGAAAAAGTTAAAAAAAAATTTACCTTTGCCAAAAAATATTTAGTCTATTTGCCAAAAAAATTGAATGATAAACTTGTTTAAAGTTTTTGTAGTAAATGACTCAATTTCAACTTTACACTATTATCAATAATTAATTTATTCGTCCCTGCATAAAATTATAACTACCACCCGTGCAGAAAGTTTGACTGGGCACGGAGTGACCAGGGCCAGATTTGGCAACCTGATCTGGGCCCGATCGAAATGAAACATGGAACACGACCGGGGGGCCATGCCAATTTGCCCAATCTGGAATCCTGGTCGGGACCCGACCAGGGCCATGGTAATTTGCCCGACCTTATAGTAATTGTAATTTTCAATGAATTATAATTATTAATCTCTATGTGTAGAAATTTTGCCAGGACCCAAATCGGGGCCGGATCAGACTACCCTATTAGGAAATGAAACGACGCGCCTGATGTGGCCCTGATTAGGAAATCCACATTTTCTGGTCAACCTGATTTGGCCCTGATCAGGGGTGGCGTTTCATTCCCTACTAGGGCGCTGATAGGGCAATTTCTACACGGATAATTGATAAGTAAAACAATAAAATTAATCAATATTATTTTATTTTATGAATCTGCATTTAAAAAAACACCTTATAAAATAAAAAGAAAATAAAAGTTGAAAAAAATTATTTGAATAATTGTTTCGTTCACTCTCTAATTCTGAATTAATAAAAATGTTTACTAATTTAAATTAGTGACTCACTTTTTTGCTTATGAATTAAAAAATTAAAATTAAAATTTAATTAAAATTAAAATTTTACTAATTATTAGTAACTTTTATTAACAATTAGTAAAATTTAAGAGAGACTTACTTTTTGCTTTAGAATTAGTTAAATTTTACTAATTGTTAGTAAAAGTTACTAATAATTAGTAAAATTTTACTAATTCATAAGCAAAAAGTGAGTCACTAATTCTAATTAGTAAACATTTTTACTAATTCAGATTTAGAGTAAAAAATGTCATAAAATGTTATAAATATATTTTCAATAGTTTTTTTTTTAAATTTAAATATGGCAACTAGGCCTGTCCCTGTTCGGGCCTATAGTAATTTACTAACCTGGGGCCAGAACAGGAAATTGGATCGGGGCCAGGACGGTAATCGGGACGAAAAGTGTCAATTTCTGCACAGGTAAAAATTACTTATTATTTTCTCATTTTTCTTATTAATTAATTAATTCGTAATTCATTAATTATGAATCAGGCATCAGATTTTTGAAATTAAAAATGGCGGATCCAATATGTCGAACATTTTTATAAATTTATCGAATTCGCTTAAAACTCATTAACTAGACGTTTTCAGGGTTCTTGATTATATAAATTTGACGTCTGATATTCATAATCACCTACCCAAAAAATTAATATGAGTAATTAGTTACAAGGAAATTTGGCAAAATTAAAACGACCCCATTTTGGATCCGCCATTTTGAATTTCGAAAATATATCTTATTGTGTAATAAAAAATATAAAAAAATTTCTTTATATTAATTAATATAGTTTTTAATTAAATATAGTCAGTTTATTTCAACAATTTTTAAATTATCCGTCATTATCCTAAAAAACCTAAAAATTTTGTTGTTTTTTAATCTACGAAATTTTTTATTTTTATCTTTGTTGCTTTTTCTATCTATATAATAGTTGCGACAAAAAAAAATTGTTATATTATCCATTTTTTTTCTTATACTTATAAATAGTTACTATTCCTATTTTTTATTAACAAACTATTCACTTTTATTTGGTAAAACAAAACACAAACTGGTGTAGA